CTTAATTAATAACTGAAAGCGAAAGGGATGAACGTAAACAATAGACAGGTTGGACTGATATGTCTCAAGCTTAATCCTGAACAAAAATCATATAACATTCATAGCTGGCTAGTCATGTTGATTATCGATGTAACAATAGCACATACTACTCTGACTTTAAATTTAGCAAAGGGCTTTTAGCCAGTTATACCAGCGTGTTTGTTAGCCATGCCTAGAAGATATGCTGCTAAAGGTAAATTGCAGTATATATGAATGTACCATCTACAATAAAACATGTTGTGAGAATATATATATATATATATATATATATATATATATATATATATATATATATATATATATATATATATATATATATATATATATATATATATGCTAGCTCGGGCATAAAACATAGCTACTCTGTACCATACCACAGTAAAAAAAAAAAAAAAAAAATGGTGTTGAAACCAGCTAATTAAAGATAAACACTGTGCTCGTTAGAACGATGGTGACCACTGTCTACGAGTGAGTGCTCCTGACCCTCAGCAGATACCCGTAAGTGACATAATTACTGCACTGCCAGAGATGGCTACGCACCAGAATTGGGTGCCCCTCCATCCCCAGTTCCAGGTGAGAGTCAGCATCCATATACCACCGACTCGGGTGCTGCGAGAGTCCGAGTCTGTCCCTGTCTTAGGGTAGTCGGAAGATTTATCTGTTCGCTTTTTTGGGCGGTCAATCTTCCGTCTTCGTGGACAATGCAGTGCTTGCAAGCCTGATGTGGCAGACAGTTGGTTGAAAATGCTTCTTCACTGACGATGCGCCCTGAGTAGGTCCCTTCGCCTCCAGTTGCCCACTTCACCTTACTCTCTTCCTGGGCTCAGCCATGATATGTCGCTGGAGTTTGAGCCAGAAGTGTTGGAAGATTTGCTGGAGACCTGTCAAAGCTTCAGCAACAAAGTCTCGTGAATCTCCCTGGATGGAACTCGCAGTGTGGGAGTCCAAGTGAAGGGCGTCCGCCATTTTGAGATCTCGGAGAGCTGGTCACTGCAACTTAAGCATTGTGGTGAGTGTCAGTAGGCTTGCATAATCAGCTCAGAGGAGACTGGGATATCCCCCACTGGTCCAAAGGGGCGTAGGGGGTGCAGTCGAACCCAGGCTAGAACCAGCACGCAGGAAGATCGGCCGCTTCTCCCTCGCCCCGTTCTTAGCAGGCTTCAACAGGACTCTCGGGCATATAGCAGAACAAATCCTGGACTGGGGTAACAGACAGCTTGCCCGGGGTCCCCTGCTCTCAGGAACACTTAGAGTGGGTCGTGGTAGCCTGCAAATCGGGTTTAATACCTTTTTTTTTTTTTCTATTATTATTATTATTATTATTATTATTATTACAGGAGCTCAAGCTTTTTACGTCTGGCTAGCTTAAAGGTCAGGCTCTGCCCCCAAGTTTGTTCTAATATTTTGTACCATACTTACAAATTCCTGCTTGCGTTATGTCTCAAGAGAGAACCAGAAAGCTCTTCAGTCTGGATGGTGGTTTAGAAAAAGAACCAGATGATATAGGAAGCAACAATGATGGCAAAATTCTAAAGAAAGTTTTGACCCAGATTAACAGTTTCTTTGTATGAAACATGCAATGACCGTTTGTTCTTTCACAAAATAACAGACAGACATTTGCTCTGAGCAACATAATTACCCAGAAGAGGCTGGATAGAAAGGGTTGCCATGATGAAATCAGTAAAGTGGGAGCAATGAAAGGGAGAAGAACAGAAGACCCAATGTTAATCCTCTAAATAAAATCATCCCTATTTCTAGGGTGAGGAAATGCAAATATCAGATTTTCACGAGCTGCTGCCATTCCTTGCATGCCCTCTTTACAGAGGGAAGATAGATTTGCCATTGTACATCAGGTTTCCTCTTCCAGGGATCATACTGAAAACCGCTTCTACAGAAGGAGGTCAGTTGGACAGACACCAGAGATTAAACATGGGTGTTGAAAGGATTTTTCAACAGAGAGCTATCAAGTGGGATCTTCATCAGAACTGTACGTCAAAAATATCCCCAAATGAAAGGGTAATGTTGCTTACAAATAAGGTCACTAAACGAACCCATTGACTTGCAAGTGTAGGTTAGTTTTAAAGTAAGGCAGATTTCAATAAATGTTAACTTTTGAATGTTTTCTAAATACGGGCTTGTATAATTTCCCTCATTCAACTAGGAGTAGATAATCCACATTATATTGTGTTCTAAAATGTTTTAGTCTAGGTCATAGGTTTAAAATATTTTATTATGTTATAAACTTTAAAATATTTCCCCATGCTGTTTTTAGAAAGTTCTTGTGTGTCCTGTTCACCTTTAAGTGAGCAAATATCTTCCCTGATCAAGAACTAAACATGTCCAAACCGTGACTAGGTACAAATAAAATAAATACTTACCCATAGGTCATGTTCTGCAAAGTCAAACAAGAGCCAGACCTTCCTGTCTGCATGCGAGAGGAATACCTTTTGTAGAGAAATTACATTTGGATGTTTCAGCTCACGTAGAAGCTAAAAAAAATAAAAATAAGACAAATAAAATTAGGTTATACCATTAAATTTTGTTTCAAGGGTTGACCCACAAAATCAAATTGTTAGTCTTGAATGGGCCTCTTCATCAGAGACTGATTTAGCATACATGATAATGCAAGTATGATTTCCATGGAGACTGTTTCACTTATTAAAAAGAAATAAATAATAAAAAACTTCATCAGATTGGAACCTTTTTATTCTCAACACAGTTGCTAGATATCATTTGGGATGGATATCGCCCCCCCCCCCCCACCTCCTTTTTTCTCATCTGCTACATTGCGACTTATGTTGCAGTATTTCTTTTTACAAAAAAGAGATTGTGAAAGAGATACAGGCCATTCTTTTTTTTTGTGTCTATTGATTTGACTTAAATGTTTTTTTCCAACTGACGTGTATATTATATATTGTGTTACTTCTGTATTCATTGAATTGATTGATTTGTATAACATTTAAAATTTTTCAATAAATAACATTTGAAAATATTGCGCAAAACTACAGACAGCACGCATAAGCAAGCATAAAACCTCGCCGAACAGCCTTCACAGGGACTCCAACATTTGTTAGCCCACTGGAACCCAGGCATGCCACTCTCCTGCACCCAAAAAGGTCAGGAAACAGGAGGGTGCATCTGTGTACCTGTGTCTGTGTGTCAGAATGCATTTGCACAGAAATACACACCTGCATTGAAACGCCAACGCAACATAGAAATACACACCTGCATTCAAACCCAACCCAGCATTCAAATGCCATTACTACAGACACATACCTGCTTTTAAACTTGCAGACTACATACAAACACGCACCAATACTATGCAAAGATACACGCTTGCATTCCATGGTCAACATTATGGACAAACTGCAACAGTGCATACAAACACACATCTGTATTTAAATGCCAACACTACGCAAAAATACACCATTTAGTTGCAAAAAGTAATAAATTACATTTATGACAGTTAAGTTGCTTTTTCTGCCTACTTTTATTCTTGATTGTGTGTATATAGTTGTGCCCTCCAGAATAGATTAATTTGACACTTCAGACCCCTGACACATAAATGGGAATAAGTTGATTGTGGGATGTGACAAAGCAATTGGTAACTTTAAATATTCAGTTGTAACAACATTTATATTGTACATGCAACATCCTAAATCTTATCCCAGATAAAATGTCATCTATAAAAAAAATATAAACACAACGGCTCTAGTTTTTACTTTACACCTCTGTGTTGACAGAAAGAAGTATAGGAAAATAAAAATATCTTAAGCAAAAAGTTTCAATTATATATATGCCAGTAAAGTTTGAGTGACATGTGCATTTATAATAATTATACACATTGACACCAAAATAAAATTTAAATACACATTAGACTGTGTTAAAAGAGAACATCTAATTACCTCTTCAAGGGTCTCATAAGTCAGCAGTTTTACAAAAAAAGTTTTACAAAAAAAAAGAAGATTAAAATAAAAAATACACTGATTTATTGATTTTTGGGGGTCCATTTTTTGTTCAAGACATTGTTCAAAAGCTCCAATCTGTTTCTTTTGCAGGTAAAAGATCACTTAAATTCAACAGTGTTTGCCCATTCCTAAAGTAGGATTTAGAGTTCACAGCAATTTGATGTCAGGTATCCCCTACCCTAAAACTAAGCCCTTCATGGCAAAAGGTACCACAGGAAGCTGCACCTAGATCGATAAAAGAAGAAGTACAATTGTGGAGACATGGGCTCCAGTCGTAAGGGCAAGAATGTACCTGCCTTTCTCTGCCGTCTACTTGAAGGCCGTTAAAGTTAAAGGACCACTCTAGGCACCCAGACCACTTCAGCTTAATGAAGTGGTCTGGGTGCCAGGTCCTTCTAGGGTTAACCCATTCTTTTATAAACATAGCAGTTTCAGAGAAACTGCTATGTTTGTGAATGGGTTAAGCCTTCCCCCAATTCCTCTAGCGGCTGTCTCATTGACAGCCGCTATAGGCGCTTGCGTGCTTCTCACTGTGAAAATCACAGTGAGAGCACGAAAGCGTCCATAGCAAAGCATTATGAATGCTTTCCTATGTGACCGGCTGAATGCGCGCGCAGCTCTTGCCGCGCTTGCGCATTCAGCCGACGGGGCGGATCGGAGGAGGTGAGGAGGCAGAGAGCTCCCCGCCCAGAGCTGGAAAAAGGTACGTTTTTACCCCTTTCACCCTTCCAGAGCCGGGCGGGAGGGGGACCCTGAGGGTGGGGGCACCCTCTGGGCACTATAGTGCCAGTAAAACAAGTATGTTTTCCTGGCACTATAGTGGTCCTTTAAACCTCTTGCCAGGGTTCTGTAAAAGTTTCCACTCTCTTTTTGGCAGGTGGAATATGAAGACCTGATGGTGACATCCCCACTCAGCATTAGGAGACCCAGCGGTGCAGTTATTTTACCTGATACTGCTCCCCGCCAGGGCCGGCGCTACCATAAGGCGGCACAGGCGACCGCCTTAGGGCGCACCGGCCGGGGGAGACGCGCAAATATCCAGTTGACCAGCAGGAGAGAAGTGCACAGTCCTCACACTCCTCTCCTGACGGTCATTTCCTGTAGCGTGTCCGAGCGCCAGTACCTCCACTGTCTCCACAGCCCAGTGCGGCGCAGAAGGAGAGGGCGCGCGAGGGAACTGATCCAGTTCCGCATCATCTGTATGCGGAATATCTAGGGGTAGTATTGATCAACAGATGTTTGTTTTTAATGATTAAGTGTACCAGATCAGGATCACACTATGGTTTTTAGAAAACAGACTAGAATTAACGTGTTCCCTGTCAGATCTGACTTTACAATGTAGAGCTGACATTGGTTATTCTGCATATAATATGTACGTGTGCACGGAGGCTGCTGTGCTCACTTTTATGTCACATCTAGTATACAGAGAGGTGTATATTCTGTATTGCATGCTTGTGTATGAAGGCTGCTGTACCCACTTTGATATAAGATTTGATACAATATATAGGGAGGCAGTTGTACATACTTTATGACATGCACTATGTGGAATAGTGTATAGAGGCTGCAGTGCACACTTTGTTATGGCATGCGGTATATAGACCACTGTATAGTATGTATGAATGTGTATGTTGGCTGCTGTATACACTTTGCAATGTCATTCCCTGTATGCATGTGAATGTAGGATATATACAGTATATAGAATACTGTATTCTTTGTCAGCTGTACACACTGATATAATATACAGTATATAGAATAGTGTGTACTTTGTATGTAGGCTGCTGTACATAGTTTGATTTAATATACAGTATATTGAATAATGTATTCTTTGTATGTAGCCCCTAACCCCCACAATACCACCCGTGCCCCCCATACTGTTCCTATCCCGCAACATAGCCCCAGTCCCCCACAACATTGTCCCTATTCTTCCTCCCACCATAGCCCTTGTCCACCACAATACTGTCCCTTCCCCCCACAATAGCCCCAGTCCCCCATAATGCTGTCCTGTCCCTCAAAACTGTTCAGATCCCCCCCGCAATACTGCCCCTGCCCCCCACAATACTGTTCCGATACCCCCACCATAGCTCCAGATCCAACAATACTGTTCCTATCCCCCCCACTATAGACTCCTTCCCTAACAATACTGTTCCATTACCCTCGCTAATGCCCCTGTCCAACACAATACTGCCCATATTCCACCACACTAAAGCCCCATTTCCCACAATACTGTTTCTAACCCTACCACTAATGCCCCAGTCACCCATAATACTGCCCCTATCCCCCCACCCTAAAGAATAAATCCCCCACAATATGGGCCCTGTCCCCATACTAAAGAATTAATCTGCAACAATACGGCCCCTATTCCCTCCTCACAATATAGCCCCTATTCCCAACAATACTGCCCCTATTCCCCCTTCACTAAATTCCCTACCCCCCCACAAAACTGCCTCTATTCCCCAATACTGCTCCTATCTCCCCTTGACTAAAGCCCTTGTCCTACACACACAGTACTGCCCTATCTGCCTACTAAAGCCCCATTGTACAGCGCTACACAATTTGTTGGCACTATGTATATATTATAATAATGATAAAGTCCCTAGTCCATACAATTCTGCCCTTATCCCCCACACTAAAGCACAGTGACACAGAAAGGGGCTGGTGGGAAAGTAAGAGACACAGGGTGGGTGTAATACACTAAAGGGGATAACACATTCAAGAGGGCATACTAAAGGCAGTAAGAAATTAAAAAAAGAGGAGTTACGAGGCACACAGGTGAAGATACATTTTTTTAGGGGGGAGTGGGAGAGGGCAAAATGCAAATTTGCCTGGGTAGCCAAAATCCTTGCACCGGCCCTGCTCCCCGCATGCTGCCGGTATCTTCAATGCTATACTTCAACGCATGCAGAAGAGTACATGTCTAGGGAGAATCCCAGAGAAGCCTTCAAATATCCGGTCTCCAGATGAACAATGCAATGCCTTACTTCCACAGTGTTGTTAGTGACGGCTGGGGGAACCGACAGAACTTGACGATGGACACTCTGCCTTCTTGATGCTTTATCATAAGAAAGTTGCCCCTGCTTTGTTCTATGATGATATTTGTTGACTGCATTGGCAATTCAACATATTTCAGAGATCCCCCCATTCCCCCTCCCCCCCCCAAAAAAAGGTGTGTACATATCTATCAATCAATCTAAACACACACACACACACACACCAGTGATAACAGGTCACTGGATAAATTTAAGCATTCCCAAAGAGTTTCAACAACTGCTCACCGCACTACCTCCAACAATGATAACGAACACGATAGAACCTACAATCACACAGGCAAGAGAAATCGTGATTTTAGAAGCAATGCGCAGCCAATGTGTCATCCTGATGCTATAAACTGATATAACACAGAAGTGACCTTTAGAAAAAATTTTACAATGCAAGATGTGCCCATGGCATTTCTAGTCACATCAGCAGAACAACAATCCAACAACTGGTTCTCTAATGATTTAAAAGAATGAGAACTAGAAGTCAAGGGAGCCCTACGACAGTTGTTCAAATACTGAAACTATACCAACAAGGATCAGGGAAAACAGCAGGTAGAAGTCAACAACACCCAATATCTGAAAGGACTATCCAACATCCTCAAACGAAAACAGAGAATGGTTTCAAGTAATCAAACACCCACAAACAAAACAACGAAAACATTAAAAAAATATAATCACACTTCTATTACAAATCCCATGGCTTCACAATAATTTAAACCTTAAGAAGTAAGCCTATAGGGATGGTTGCATCCTCTCATGAGGATTACAGTTGAAACATGGCAATGTAGATGTTTAAAAATGAGAACTTCTACTTACTGCTATCTCTCTGCATGCAGACATAGAAATTCCAGTACCTTCTATTTGTTTTAAGGCATAATCTCGATCATCTTTCCTATGGGAAAAAGAAATACCATTGGTCAGTAAGAAAAACAACTACATTTTTTTGTTCTTTGTTTTAATAATTAACTAAAACAGAAAATAAAAAAAATAAAAAAAAGACAAACAACAAATCCTGTATATTATGGTATTAAAAGTAAAATGTCACTTGCCAGGATTTTTAATATGTTTACTTATTCCTATATTTTAGTGGTTATGTTGACAGGAGTTCCTTGGTGGCCCCTCATGGTAAGAAGTCAAACAGAATGACATCTTAACTGGGGTCAGCTGGCTACTTGTCACTTTCTATATAGAGAATTAGAAGCTTGTGCATGGCGTTCCCATTATTTCTCCTGAGCTGATCCCTGCTGTACAGGGCCATCTTATTGTCCGAAAGTGTCAGCTGATCACTCTCCGCCAATGAGCTAAGCCCTGCACCATCAGGCGTAGTTCAGTGTAGAGAGCATCTGACATTCATAGAGTAAATTATCAATAAAGATGATCTCAGCCAGGGGATCAGTGGCAAACACAGTATGGGACTAAATGTGATTAAAAGCTATCCCACCCCCTAAAATAAGCAGAAAATAGGGAAGCAGTGAACATGCAGATTAATCAAGAAGTAGTTCTAATGTAAGAAATACCAGTCTTTCTCAGACGGTTTCATGAATGGGAAGCAAGTGCTTTGCTTCTCTGAGGAGTCAAACATTACCAGAAGCCAGTTGGGAGAGCGGACAGCATCCTCACAACTTTAGGGTTAAATTGTTCACCAACTGCTTATTCCATTAAGGCAAGACAGCACAAGGAGATCCTGGCACCATAACAGTTTAATTGTGATGAAATTGTTATGGTGTTTAGAGTGTTTCTAGAATATTTCACCAGCTTAACGGACTAACTAACCTAACTAAAACATTGTACTATTCAGAAGATTAGGAATGGTAAAACTATTTACGGTGTCAGAATCTCCTGTTATAAGCAGAATATGAAATTTCTTTTAAAATATTGTAGTGGCAAACTTTACATAGTGTACAGGAGCACCGGAGTAGTCATGTCCTATTACCTAAGAGAAATACCGTATATACTCGAGTATAAGTCGAGTTTTTCAGCACATTTTGTGTGCTGAAAAACCCCTACTCGACTCAATGTCTGTATTATGGCAACTTACATTGCCATAATACAGACAAGGACCGCCGGGCTCATTACAATGGAGCTGACAAGGGGAGCTGACCAGACCGGAGGAGAGAGAAGGGAGCTGACAGGAGCTGCAGGAAAGGTAAGTTGCAGCTCCCCGCCAGCCCCCCTCCTACACAGCCCATCCACTGGACCATCAGGGAATGAGAGCCCCCCTCCCTGGCCAGCTAACAAGCAGGGGGTGGGGGTGGGGACGAATAAAAATAAATAAAAATTTAAATAATAAAATATTAATATAAAAAAATAAAATAAGAATAATTTTAAAAAAATAATAAAAATGCCCACCCCCCACAAAGGCTCTGCATCACACACACTGCACTCATACACACACACACTGCATTCATTATATACACACACTGTAAATAAATATTCAATTAATATAATTTTGGGGGGATATAATTTTATTTAGAAATTTACCAGTAGCTGCTGCATTTCCCACCCTAGTCTTATACTTGAGTCAATAAGTTTTCCCAGTTTTTGGGGGGTAAAATTAGGGGTCTCTACTTATATTTGGGTCGACTTATACTCGAGTATATAGGTTAAGTCAACTTTCCTCTAGTCAATTATTTGTTTGTCAAAGACAAATATATGCAATGTAAGAGATATATATTTATTTTATTTTTTTCAAGCAGGCCTAGGTTCTCTCTCCGTGTCCAGGAATGATTTCTGCAAAGTGGCCTCCGACAGTCCAGTACTTAGTAGCCGGATGCAAGATGTTAGCAGGAGCAGCATACACGGAGACATACAACCAAGTTGCTGGGATTGTATACTGAAACATCTGCACAGAATACAGATTGGACCTGCCTAAGTCCAGATGGGAGATACCACAAATGGTAGTTGAGAATGAAAGGGCTAAGATCCTGTGGGACTTCAAGATCCAGACAGACAAGCAAGTGCTGGCCAACCAAGTAGTGGTAGACAAGGAACGAAAGACTGCAGTCATGGTGGATGTGGCAATACCCAGTGACTATAACATCAGGAAGAAGGAACATGAGATGGTAGACAAATAACAAGGACTGAAAGAAGAACTAGAACGGATGTGGAAAGTGAAGGCAGTAATAGTCCCAGTTGTGATAGGAGCACTCGGGGCTGTGACTCCCAAGTTGGGGGAAGTGGCTTCAACAGATTCCAGTTGGGACATCTGAGATTGCTGTCCAGAAGAGTGCAGTTCTAGGAACAGCTAAGATACTGTACAGAACCCTCAAACTCCCAGGCCTCTGGTAGGGGACCCGAGAATGAGGAATAAACAAACATACCACCCAGGAGGGGTGAGAAAATCTATTTTTTATTAGGGATCGACTGTGAACTTTAGGGCCTATAGCTGATAACTTGCCAATATTCTGTACTTTACCGTTTTGAAAAAAAAAGAATCAATTACTACACAAATCTACTGTTAACTGAACAGGTTTATTTATTTTTGCAAAATCTTTTTTATGAAGTAGTAAATTCACAAAATATACATGCCAGTCAAGTTTTTTTATGTTTTCAAGAATATTTAGTGTTCCTCTACTCCGTGTCCCTCTCCCCTCTAGAGTCCTTAGCGCACAAGAATAATAAGCATGTTTTGATCACAGGCCTGACTACGGCGATAGGCCCCCAAAACTCATACTGTTTGCGGACGATATCCTTATACTGCTTACCCAACCGATGGATCTTTTTAACAGATTATGGAAGTGTGTCATATTGTATTAAAAAAAAAAAAAAAAAAACACCACAAAAACACAAGCCCTGCCTATCAGTTTGAACAAAAATTAAAGAGGCAACCGATCGATACATACCTATTTGAATGGCAAAAAGACTCCATTAATTATTTAGGAATTCAGTGGTCAGCCTCTAAGCAGACTATGATCAAAACAACAATTGTACATTTTTGCAAGGGGTGCAGATAACGTTGGGCTGGTGGACTGGGGGAGCCACTTCATGGGTTGGGAAAATTAACTCACTAAAGATGTGTATTCTACCTCAAATACTGTTCCTGTTTTGGACTATTCCGATTATTCTGGCATCCTATCAGAAGTCCATCAATGCACACATTTGGAAAATTAAACCCACGAGGGTGGGTCTCCTTACACACAATGAGCTATAAGATGACAGAGGGTGGTCTAGGGGTTCCAAAACGTATACAAATATTATGTAGCATTTCTACTAGCGCAGACCGTGGCCTTGGAATTAATGGCCATTAAACCACTATGGCACCTATTGGAACAGTCTATATCACCCCAAAACCTGATAGAGGACCTGATGTGAGTGAAACACGCCCAATCTAAAAATCTCAGTACTGCTCTCCTATTCACAACACTTGTCTCTTTGTAAATGTGGAGGTCCTGGATCCCTAAACTTTTAGGACGTGACGTATGTGCATCATCCGCGACATTGTCTAGCTTGACATACCATACAAGGGATTTGGATTTAGGGAAATGGGGGAGGGAAGGAATAACGAGAATTTAACATGAGCTGACAGAAAACGGTGTAATGCAATTCCCAGATCTGCAACATAAATATGGACTGACAAATACAGAGCTGTTCACTTATATAAGGATAAAATATATTGTAACAAAGTTAAAAGCGGTTAAGGTAGTGTTCAGATGCATAACTTTGGAAAAATGTGTATGGGCAGACATGTCAAAGCTAAACCATTATCGGTAGGTTATAAAAGATTGTTGCACATAGCGAAACCAGACAAACTGCACTTAATGGCACAATGGGAAAGGTACTTCAATGGAGAATGAGAGCCATCTCAATGGTACAGAGCAATGAGGCTGACTAGAGAAGCCACACATTGCATTGAGCACCTAGAGGCAGCACACAAGTTATGGCAGAGATGGTACTTAAAGCCTCAGCGTCTAGCACATACATACCGAGGCAGTCCTCCTGTTTGCTGGAGATACAAGGAGGGGGAGGGATCCCTAAGCCACATACTTTTTCAATCTGAAAAGATTGTCTAGTTTTGGAAACAAATCCAACAAGTAATATAAAATGTCACGGAGATCTTACTGCCCTTGAAACCAGAAATCTACCTACTACATATAACTCCCCATGGAGTGCGACAGCACATAACTCCATTGATTATTCAAATTCTGATAGCCGCAAAAAACGGTATTGCCCAACTTTGGAAGTCCACACAAACCCCATTAATCCAAACAATACGAGAGACGGTATCGAATATCAAAACATTCAAACAAATGGTCTTCAATATAATGGGCAAACTCAACATACTTGAGAAGATCTGGGCAAAATGGAAATAAATTAGGGAAGGGGTAACTTTATAGTGTCTATAATTGGAGGGCACACTACAAAGAGAGCGGGCAGTTCACAGATAGGTCCTCTGTTCATCCATTTACATTGCCAAGCCATAAGAGATCTCTCCGGCAGCCACAACAAAAACCCTGTTGATAAGTGCATCAGAACTTATGTTTAAGACGAATGTCCATATAGCTATCCTTGGTGTTATTTTGATTTTGTTAGTTAATAGTTTACTATTGTGATTGTTATGTTTTGAACTTTTCCAATATGCATTTGAACGCCAAACCATGGAACAATATAATGTGTTGTAATAAGGACCAAGACTTTAAAATGTGCATACCATTTGTTGTCAAAAATGTATGAGCCAGGAGACGTTTATCTCCCTGAGCGCAATTGTCATTTATGGTGATCATGTACAATTTTTGCATTTACATAAAATTGAATAAACAAACAAACAGATAAATAAAGGAATACAGGCTTGTACTCCTAACAGTATAGTGTTCCTATAATTCAAGGAATAAAACAGGACTACGAACACAGTATTAGAGTGGTGACACTATTTAATTTTGCTTACGCTAATGTAATAAATGGATAATAAATATTACACCCCCATCCCAAATACAAAAAAAATTAGGCATTTGCTGGCAAGTTTATTTTAATTGTCCATTACGAAAATCAGGAGAATAGTAATGACTGTAGCCATAAACAGAAGAAACAAACAATATATAAACTATAAAGAGATAAACAGCACTTGCAGCTGGACAGCAAATGAAAGACTCCAAGCGAGTGCTATGTGCCGCACACAATCTTCCCCTAGTGGTATATTGGGTACCCATATGGCAAGCCTTTTATAAAAAAAACACACGGAAAGAAAGCAAATTCTGTGCTTCTTTTCTGCTTCAATATATTTTTTTTATTGATTGTTTTTAACATGTTAATAGAGTACAGAAAAAAAGAAAAGGGAAAGCAGTTCAACTACAGTATAGACATTTCAATATGGTACTGTGCAGTTCAGCGTGGTTAGGTATAATTTTAATTTATAACATCACGTGTTGCCTCTTTATTTGCTTTTATGTGGGGGAAAGGAGATGAAAATGAAAGTTGTACCATATGAGCTGTTCGTAGCTCTAATATGCATTCATTATGATTTTGGATCATGGATTTAAACACCTTAGGAATACATTATCCAGTATCTATACCTCAAACTCCAGATCTGTCGCTCCTTGGTGAGTCAAGCTTATCATAACGAGGCGCAATGCTCCCCTGTTTTTATTTGGTGTTCGTGTTTACATACCCACGGTGCCTACGCCTCCACCCATATTCTGACCTTCATGTGAGTTTCTGATTTAAATTTTTCATAAATAATAATATTGGTGGATTTTTCTGTGCTTCTTATAAAACATGGATTTTTGTTTTTATTGGAAGAATGAGGAGCACTTCAAAGTCAAATATTTTGGACAACGCTGTCCTTTGTTAATTCATATCCAGGTTAAATATTTGGCAACCATATTTTATGTACACAAACTAAAATAAAAAGCAAAAATACAATGTAGGCACAAAAAGCAAGTAAAACATGGTACATGCAGTAGTGCTTATTTAAAAGCATATTAAAGATGCAGAGAACAAGGCAAAAAAAACAACAATGTTGGTGTTCAGATACAGTTCTTAAAAGGGCTGATGAGCATTAATATGCAGTGAAATTCACAGGTTATAATTCATGAGAACACATGCATGGCTCTTGGGGATCTAGCTACAAGAAGAGATAGTGCCGCTCAGGATATATGGCAGCCACAATAGCTCAAAGGCAATGTCTCAAATACTATTCTTAGTTTGCAAGAGGATTTTAGCTGAATGGTAATAATTTTTTTGAAAGTGACTATGCAACACTGTACTAACCAAGACCTTCGAACTCCTGAATCTGCAAACATTAGGAGAATAAAAGCAGGTTCTATCATTTGTAAAGAGAAGAAAACAGAATGGCAAAACTTAGTCTAAAACTCCCAAGTTGTGTCTATGGCAGAATTGAAAATTTTTCTGTATCAGTTATTGGTGCCTAAAACAACTCGGATTTCAGTTCAATAAAGTCTGTTTAGTGGAAAAAAACAAAACAAAAAAACCCTGGATATCAGACTGATTTTATCAGGGTACCGGATAAATGCACTTGTTATAGGAGCTTCAGAGCAAGTGTTGCCAAAGTGACCTCACAGGTGTAATCATATTGCATTCATTCCAATTACTGGATTTGTCGGTTGCAGCTGAACCGGATATTGGATTGGATTTCTGCACACAGCCTACAAATGTTAGTAGGTGCTAAATGTGACGTGGCAGAAGGTTATCCAGTTAGGATGTCTCTAAAACAGGTGCCGAGACTGTAAGCAAAGTGCTTGATCAGCACTGAAATTCACCACAGGAGCATACCAATATAGTAAGCCCACAAGGCTTTGAGAGAAGAAAAAACAAAAAAAACAAAACAAAAAAAAACATATACACACACATATTATTATATATATCTATATCTGACTGGCAATAAATAAATCAACACCTTTTTCACAGCTATGTTGCATTTTCTTTTTAGTGTTTTTTGTTTTTTTTCTCCATTTCCCCCTTTTTCAAATTGTTTGCATACTAACCACAACTTTTCCATCTTCACTTCCTGATCAGCTGTTAAAGGAATAGCTATGTTTTACATTGTTGGATAAAGGGATCAGGGACACTGCACCTAGACCAATTTGCCTTTAACCCTTTCTGTCCCTTTCCATGTGTTTGCCTCCCCGCCCTGAATAAAACAGCTAAATGTAGTGTCATTGATTAAAGCGAACCTTTAAGTAGTGTACGTCATCTACTGAAATAGTTATGGTACGCAGAGTCCAGAAAAATCATCCAACCGTACAGTGGTAAACAGTTTTTGATCAATGAATGATGATCCTTGGATGCAAAGACATCCCACCCCTCCCCTCTTCGCCTCATCAAAATGGGTTAAAACTCATCTTATATTCAGCCCCGCCCCCTTGGTGACATCAGAATTGCCGATTTTTAGCCAATCCAATGCTTTTCCAGGAAGCACCTCCAGTGACCATTTGAGGAGTGGCCACTTGGAAGTGTTCCTACGGGAAATGTAAACACTGCCTTTTCTCTGAAAAGACACGGATGGCATGAAAATGCCTTCACATAATGACTATACTCACCAGAACAACTACATTAAAGGGACACTATAGTCACCTGAACAACTTTAGCTTAATGAAGCAGTTTTGGTGTATAGAAGATGCCCCTGCAGCCTCACTGCTCAACCCTCTGCCGTTTAGGAGTTAAATCCCTTTGTTTATGAACCCTAGTCACACCTCCCTGCATGTGACTTGCACAGCCTAAACACTTCCTGTGAAGAGCCCTATTTAGGCTTTCTTTATTGCAATTTCTGTTTAATTAAGATTAGTGATGTCGCGAACCGTTCGCGAACTTCCCGCGAACGGCTCGCCACGAACCGTTCGCGGCGAGCTCCGGTCAGCTGACACATCCCGGCCAATCTCCAGCAGACCCTCCCTCCCAGACCTCCCACCTCCTGGACAGCATCCATGTTGAAGGCAGCTTCAACATGGATGCTGTGCTACTGACCCTGCGAAGAGCCTCAGCTGTATACTCCTTATCCCCTGCTATGTTAATAGCTTGCAAGACCCTGCAAGAGCCTCCTGTATGTGATTAAAGTTCAATTTAGAGATTGAGATACAATTATTTAAGGTAAGTTACATCTGTTTTAAAGTGAAACCAGTTTTTTTTGTTTTTTTTAATGCAGGCTCTGTCAATCATAGCCAGGGGAGGTGTGGCTAGGGCTGCATAAACAGAAACAAAGTGATTTAACTCCTAAATGACAGTGAATTGAGCAGTGAAATTGCAGGGGAATGATCTATACACTAAAACTGCTTTATTTAGCTAAAGTAATTTAGGTGACTATAGTGTTCCTTTAAGCTGTAGTTGCACTGGTGACTATAGTGTCCCATTGCTGATTTCTCAATATAATTATGCAGAGTTCTTTCTACTTTTCTTCCGGAATTCTGCTTATTCTAATAAATGCAAACTGCATGGTCTATGGATTACCAGCAATTTTATTACATTGTAAGATAGTTATCTCACGTGTAATAAGCACATGCAGCTTCAAAGCCAACAGTATGGTCAGAGATAGCAAATCTTTTGCTTGTTCTAGGAAAAAAAAAAATTCTTATACAAGCCAGATGCTATGAAAAAAAAAATAAATAAAAAAAAAAAAAAGAGATTTTATCAACACAGTGAAAATAAAAATACAAAATTCTGTGACAATAAAACAAAAAAAAATCATTAATGCCCTTTCCAAACAGCAGTGAATGAAAGGTTTAGTTTTTTCACCTTAATTGATGTATAAACTTTGATTAATAGTTAAAAATAAATATTTTGGGTGATTCCAGATCACGTTTTATGTTTCAAGCCCCATCGATCTACATCATGAAATGGGACATAGAGGGGATACAGATCTATATCCTCCTATATTAGGAATAACAATAGGCAAAGAGTGACTAGACCCATACTGTGCAGTCCTAAAATGAGAGGAGGGCTGGGATTGCCTCAACTGTTAATGTTACTATGCTGCCCAGCTGGCACAGTAATCATGGCACACATCGCCAGGAGAAAAGACTGGATGGACGTGGAATACAATATGGGTTCACACTTGCCTATGTTTTAAATGCGGGTGGAGAGATATCCAGGGTCTCTTCTACGTACCACCCGTCCAGCCATTATTACATCTCTTAATATGGGATCGTATTAGACAATTTTTTTTTACCTAACTTCTAATCCCTCTCCCGTTTCTCAGGTGCTTAGAAACAGGGATTTTGCTCCAGTTACGCGCCCTAGAGAGTTTAAAAATCTGGATGAGGCTGGCATTCAGCAACATATGCACCTATGGAGGGTTTCTCTCTCTTTTACGCTGTAAGGATCACTTTAGATATGTACAGATAGGAGATTTCGCAAAAAATTACAAAGTTAAAAAGGCAGCTAATCCCACATACCTTTTTACAAAAATCTCTGTATTAAAGGGAAGTCTCAGAAAATACTTTTCTCTCTCATATACAGTTCCATCTGTTTTGACTCCATAATATGGGGATCTTTACGCTATAGAACTCAGTGGGAACAGGACCTAGGAGAGGTGCTGGAGGGTGACTCATGGGAGAATATCTAGGAGGCAGCAGCTAGGGTTTCCATTTAGGTCATCTTCCAGGAACAAACATATAAAAATCCTATTTAAAAGGCACACCGCTCCAGCACAACTCTTCCACATGGGTAAGACTCCCACTGATACCTGTTGGCGGCTATGTGCCACAGTGGAACCTATTTGCACTTGTGGTGGGCACGTCCGGTAGTAGTGCCGTTTTAGAAAGAGGTAGGGGACCCGTCGGCATCTGTTTTCCAGAGGTCATTCACCTTACATCCTTTGAGACTGCTGCGATCATGCGCTCTAGAGGGCTTTCCAAGAAGAGCTCAAAACTTTTGAATAAAATAACATTAGCACCATAATAACACTGGTCACATCTGTTCCACCTATGAGGGAGGTTAGAACCCAAATTCAAGATAACCATTTAATTGAACACTTTGAATTAGAATATACCTCTACCATTTTGAAAGATATGGTCAGAATACATTTCCTAGATGTAGTCATGAATGCACTTTTTCTCATAATATGATCACCGCTGTGGACACCCACTTATTGGAATGTAAAATGAGCAACTGGCATTTTGGTTCCATCTTCCTGCTTGCATTGCCTACTTGCTCAATTCCTAAATAAAGAACTAAAAAAAATTAAATACTTGTTCTATCACCTTCATTGGAATAGCTTACTACAACTCTCACGCTACTCACAGCCTTCTCTAACAGTGGAGTACATTTTGGTAAAATAATGTTGGCTTCTCTGGAAATCACAAAGTATGTATGTTTAGGGATGCGCATCATGTTACTTGGTGCAGGCAACCGGATCACCAACAGTTACCACAGCAACTCTGTTACATCAACACAGGGGACAAACATTGAAAGGCTTCCCCCTTACTTCCTCTTCATTTGACTCGGTAAGAGTAACCATATATCTGCAAACATACTTGTCCATTTAACATTGCCCGAGCAAACATTAACTTTTTTGTCTTGTATAAAAGAACACTATATATATATATATATATATATATATATATTTATTATGTGACATGTCAATCATATAGGGGGTGGGGTGAGGTGGGTAGGAGTCCATGCAGCACAATAGCTATGATATTGTTGAACCACTTTCCAACCACATTATATTTATTAATTTATTCCTTGCAGAACTTGCTGGCTGAGGTGTCTGGGGGACGCAAGAATGTCTTAAATATTTTTAAAATGGTTTTAATGCTTACCATGAGACATGGCCAGGGGACTCCTGGCACCATAAACACTACAGTGTACAATGAAGACCAGTTCTAGCGATACCAGAGGCCACAGCTCACCCCTAAGACAACCCAAGCCATCTGTGTAAACCAAACGTACAGTCATGGTTTACTTATTTCACAATGTACTTCATTATATAGGTTTCTGTTATTTTGTCCACCTCTGTACAGGCCATTTAAATGTTATTCCCAAATACAACGTTTACCTAATCTAAGAGGATTCATAGCAGATGTTCCATGCAAAGCTCAGGATTCCTGACACTTGAGATACACAGCAATATGATCTTATTCAAAATCAACACAAACATTCAACCTGAAAATTACTGCTGAACGTCCTTCAAAATCACTAGACCAAGACTTTTATATCCAGCCATTTATGAAATCGCATTATCATTTCTAAAGCACTGTTTTCCAAACTCTAAATGTAATGATTTAGTATTGAGTGAAAGAATGTTTGAATCATCATCACAGTGGGTGTCAACCTGATGGTGCAATTGATATGATAAATTATACTTAATCATAAGAAATTTAGCTTTTTCTAGTTTTCAAGTTTTGGTGTCTACATTAGAAGGGATAAAATAAATTTTTAAAGCAACCCCAACGTGCTTTTCAGTCCCCACCCCATGATGTGTCATAGGGTTAAATAAGCCTGTATAAGCTTACTTGATTCTCGCACCGAGGTCCCTCGGCTGTGTGTCACTCTCCACTTCGTCCTATGTCAGCCAAAGGGTGGAACTAATGCGTAAGCATGGCAAGGCTTTCCTCATTAGGTAAACACTGCATCAATGCTTTCCTGTAGGGTTTTGCGTGACAGTGGATGTCCTCATGCAGAGAGTGAGATCCAGCATCTTTCACCAAGTCAAACTCTGTGAAACTGCAAAAAGCGCCTCTAGTGGCTGTCTGGTAGAAAGCCACTAGAAAAAAAAAAATTTAAATGGACACTATAGTACCCTGAGGGTGCCCCCATCCTCAGGGTCCCCCTCCTGCGGCGCTGAAGGGGTTAAAACCACATCAGCTACTCCCCCTTTCCCCCCGCCGGGCACCCTTACCTCTCCATCCCCGCTGACGTCAGCATCCTTGTCTGACGCCACCGGCACCGAATGCGCATGTGCGGCACTGCCGCGCGCATTCAAAGTGTCCGTAGGAAAGCATTTTTTCAATGCTTTCCCATGGAAGCTCTGCATGATTGAGGCATAATATAGAGGCTGGCTTAACTCATAGCAGTTTCTCAGAACTGTTAAAGGCTTGAAGGTTAAAAGGTCTTATATGGACCTACTGGATACTGAACCAGTAACTGACATACAGCAGTTGGATCCCTAATCAGGGTCTAAAACACAAGCGAGTGAAAATTCAGTGGTGAGTAACTTATATATGAAACCATGAACACTATACTCACCCATACATGATGAAGTGTTGCTGGGACCCATTGATACAACATACAAAATCCAGCAAACTCAAGTTTTTAAAAAAACTATACAATTTTGTGAGCTTTAAAGCTGGACGGTCCAATAATTGTCCAACAATGCTCCGAAGTGTTTATGTGCTCCGAAGTGTTCTCAGCTTAGAAACTGCTCTACAAGTACACATGTGTAAACATTTCTGCTGTAGTGTCATAAGAGTGCATAAATCCTCATAGCAGTAACAGCATCATATGACATACATAAAAAAAAATTAAAAAAAATTATGATAACTATTGCAAAACAAAAAAATAAATACTACAATCCACAGTGAAGATTTAGTTAGCTACAGAGTTGTATTTTTAAGCGGTTTCAGATAGGATCGGTTCACACACTGATATTACATAAAGTGTCAATATTTAGTCTAACAAGCATTCTTGCAAAAGATTTAGCCTACAAGTCAAGGATGGAACATTCTTACTGAAACTACTTTGGACTCGAGCATAATTTTCATTTTTTTTTTATATAAAGGGGAAGTAACAATTTAAGCACCATAATAATTTCTGCTCATTGTACTGGTTAAGTGGAAAAAAGTCTGAGCAATGTTGACTGTTTTGTGTGAGGTAATTTCAGTGATTGGATAAAAAGAAATGGCTCCTCTACTGTCGCAGTGATGGTTTGCATTAGCCTGTCAAATTTTGGCTGAGAATAGGAAGGGCGGGTTAGCCCTGGGCTCTTAGCTTATCATTGCCACCCAAAGTTGGGAATATTTTAAAAGCTGCTGCATGAAACTGTGAATAAATATAAAATATACCATGTCATACGTGCATTAAAGAGCACTTTATTTAGGATGGAGAAAATTAAAGTGCAGAGGTACACTAAAAGTCAGTACTGCTAAACATGCATCTAATTTGTGGTAGTTTAGCTATACTGTTTGCAAACACATTTATAAGAAAATGAAGGTGGACTACTATAGGTTTCAAATATTTTATTTATGCTAAATAAGTGCAGCCTCACTGCTCAGTTCTCTGCCATTTAGTAGTTAAATCACTTGTGTTTCTGTCCAAGCAGCCCTAGCCACACCTCCCCTGGCTGTGACTGACACAGTCTGCATGAAAAAATGCTTTATTTTTAAATCAGATGTTAGCTTATTTTAGAAGCTTCTTTCTTTGTTTTGTAAATCGAACTTTAAAACACAAACACACACCTCCTGCAAGGTCTAGCAAGCTATTAAAAGTTCAGGAAATAAGAAATTCTATATTAAAAGGTTAAACCTAGATGGACCTGGCACCCAGACCACTTCCTTAAGCTATAGTGGTCCTTTAAACAGACTGTGCAATAAAGAAATTTTAAACATTAGATCTCACTTTACAGGAATTGTTTAGGAGGGCTGTGAAAGTCTTATGCAGGAAAGTTGACTAGGGCTGCAAAAACAAATGTGATTTAATGCGGCACTGCAACCCACCTCCGCACAAAAAAATTGTATTTCATAAAGCCAGAATCTTGATGAGATATTAATTTTGAGTGTGTTGGAATTTTAATGAAATTCCAACCAAGTCAAGCAATATACAGAGACAAAGTAGGGGCTACTGGTTTTCTCCAGTGACGGCTGCAGGGAATGCAGGGAATTGACTCAGTCTATGGAGGGTCTTGCAGAATCCTCCACATCCCTCAGTGCTGTACTCTCATGCATATGCGAGAGTACAGCAGTGACGTCGACTCCAAAGAGGATCTTCCATATCAAGATGGCCGTGCACAAGGAACAGGTAAGTAATTTTTTACCTTTACTTAGCTCTGTTCCAAAAAGGTGTTATTTATTTATTGAAATGCCCTTGTAATTTATTGTACATAGGTAGAACTATTAGGAATCTGAATGTTCGGATATCCGAACATGTCAGGAATATTAAAAAAGGCCTAGAAACCCACAGTGTCTCCAATCATTTTAAAAGTCATCACAATTCTAATCCAGAGCATCTTTTCTTCTGTCCATTAAAAATAGTTAGAAAAGATTGGAGAGGTGGAGACTATATTAAAAAAATAGGTGCAGAGGAGATGAAATTTATTTTCAATTTGAATACCCTGATTCCATATGGTCTTAACTCAGATTTTGAGATATGTCATTTTATATAGGAATTTTATTAGCATTGTCCTTTTATATATTTTATATGTTTTATTAATTGATGATATCTTCTAGGTCTTTTATACATCACATTTTACACACATATACTGTTAAATAACTTGTGGCACCTTAAGCACTTAAGTTACGATTACATCTAAAGCTGTATGCCTTTTGGTGCTGTATATATATTTCTTTGTTTCTTTTTTACATTTTGCATTCTTGAAATAATGGTGAACACTTTTATTTAATGTGGTATGTATATGGAGGCTTGCATTGAGGACTGTTTGTTGCTGGATATGCAGTGGAACGCACAGACCAGGAACTGTGCGTTCCAGCAGTGTTCCCAAAGAGTTCGACTAACAGGAACCGGAAGTGACAAACAACGCTCCCAGCATGCTCAATGAACAAAGACCGGAAGCGACGCAAGTGGAACGCATGTGCGTTCCACTCACGGACGGACAAGGACCGGAAGTGACGCAGGTGGAACGCATATGCGTTCCACGCACGGACGAAACCGCCAAAATTAGGAAGTAGAGCAAAACCTCTACCATAAAGACGCCGAGAAAGCCTCCATCCAAAGATATCGACTGATACCCCCACTCGAAAGCTGTGCTGCCCATGAGACCGCAACAGACCTGGCACAACACACGACAACAAGCAGGAAAATAGGACGAGACAGCAGGGGCCACAAATGAGACATGTGGGAAAGACACCGACTAAGTGACAGCAGTCCAGTAGCCCGAGACGCAATAAGCACCCACAACACATACCAGCTCAATACCTCAACACACACAGCCCTAGGAACGGGTTGAGCGCACGCGGCGCAGGCAAACTCCACTATAGATGCGATAAAAAAGCGCTGCAACATGTGACAAGTCCTAAAACAATCAGAATACGCACCACACTCATCAAACAACACACACACCAGCCAGACCATACACAGCACGCACACTATGATAGCTAATAATTATATTACATTATATAGTTAAAAGTAAAATACTCGAACCGCCTCTGCGCAGGCACCTAAACGACACATCTGCTGCAATGTGAAACGAGCCTCTGCGCAGGCAACGAAACGCTAGGATATATACACAGTGACACAAGCCTCTGCGCAGGCAACTAAACGTTATGTTAGATGCAATGAAAAAACGCCTCTGCGCAGGCAACTGATTGTTCCGATCACCGCAACGAGAAACACGCCTCTGCGCAGGCAACAGACTGTAATGTTTAAATACAATCGTAAACCACGCTTATGACATGATACCAATAAAAATATTTAAAACAAAGATATCGACTGATACCAACTGAGGAAGCCCCTACCATAGGGCGAAACGCGTTTTGGACATACAGTCTGTCTATTAGACTTTTCATTTGGACATATTAGTCTATTACAGACTTTTTTATTGAGAAAACATTTCTCTCTATTTTTATTATATTTAATTTTGTGAATAAAGTTCCCTTTGGAAATACATTTTTGGAATATTATTATCTGCTTCAGCACACTATACAAGAAAGCCTAAGAAGAAGGATGGGGACACCTGTTTAAAAGTCCCAGTGCGCTACACATTAGAGCCATATGTCATATTGGCTCTGGGCTTGTGAGTAGTATTGCTTTATCATTATTCATTACAGTTCTGTTTGACAATATTATACTATGATATTTTGTTTCCTTCTTTAGAAACGTTGGATGTGTGTACCACCTATTGTATGTATTCATTGTATTGTTTTTAAGTGGTATAAGGGGTTCCCACTTAGGTGGTTTTTCGGCTGTTTCAGCTGTCACACACACTTTCTTTACTGTATCTCTATCACTTTATTGATTTGTCAGCAGCAATATCACTTGTCAGGGGTCTTTGAGAATTCTGCAAAGTCCCCAGACTGTAAAAGTGCCGCTTTTAACTCCTAAATGGAAGAGAATTGAGCAGCGAGACAGCAGCAGTACGATCTATACACCAAAACCGCTACATTAAGCTAAAGTTGTTTTGGTGACTATAGTGTCCTTTTAAATGTGTCCAACAGAATGACAAACTGTTGCATTACAAATAACCAGCGTCACGGGTGAAAGCTGGAGAACGGGAGCCACGATCCACAAGCTGCACGACGCCAAAATAAAACGCTGTCAATTCGGCAAAAACGTTAGATGGCTGGGGAGTACCAATTTATCTCACCAAGCACACATGATGCATAGGTGAACGTGGGAAGAGTTTTGGAACTAAACTGTAATCTAGAAACAACATGTGGAGCCAGGAGACGAAAACGGCAATCGGTAACCTAAAGAGGAAAGGCAGGAAAATCTGGAGCCGATATTGGAGCTGTTACTCGCATCCAATAAGAAGCATAAAAGGAGTTGTGAGTAACTACAATCCCTCACTAGTATTACCCAAAACAGAGTACATCTATGGATTAATCTAAAAAGGTGCAGATTTCCAACATACAATGGTTACTGGTGCATTGCACATATAACCTGGAACGCATACAAGTTTATTAATTTCATTTATACTGCTGTTTAATGTATAAATTAGCCCCCGAATGGGAGTTTGAGATATTATACGAATACCTTCTGTAAAAAGAGGATTAATTAATTGGGCAGGTGAGGGAGAAAACTCCCACAGAATCAAAAAGTGCTTCTTCAAAACTGTGGAAAAGAAAGGGATTTAGGCGTGTTTCACAGAAAAGAGATGCCCTATAAGTTATAACCTGCAAATACTTTTAATATACAAAGATCTAAAAAGGAAGGAACCCAATTAGGATATCCTAATCAACCGGGCTGCTGCGGGAGAAAAATCTCAGAACTGAAGGTGCATCATTAAACCTGTGAAAGGGAACTGAAACCAGTGTGCTACACATGAAAAGTGATGCCTTAAAAAAAAACAAAAAAAAACTATAATCTGCATGAATATCAGCTCCAACAAGCCATATTAGTAGTTTGGCTCTTGGAAAGATCGATTAGATTTAAAGAACCTTCCTTCTAATCAGGGAAATAGATATAAGGGAAGTAATCCCCAAGCAAAAAAGGAAAGGAGATAAGAAAAAACAGGATAAAGAAAATTGGTCAAATTCGCCCTTCGAAAACATCAAATCCTTCCCTGTCAGCTTTCACCTGGCAGCCTCGTAATTGCAGGAAAGATAAACTGATTAAATCTTGGTAACTGGTGCCATGCAATTCAGCAAAATATTTTCTTTAACATTTGGCCTCCAGTGTATCCCTGGAAACCGCATGTTTCACAAAATCTTCAATCTCTAGCATGACTGCCCATTAAACCTACACACAGTCATGTATCACCTCCAGATTCCTAACCATGCAGCTCTCCTATCCAAAAAGGACAACATATGGAGGCTAAAAGACAATATATTTCAGACAACCCCATGACTGTTATTTTTACCTATGTGACGGCACTAGCGCACACTTACTGTTTGCAAGAGTAACCTTAAAAAAGGTGCTGACGGCAAGAGAATGCCAGATAGGGTTACTCCACCGCACTCCTGATAATAATGCACAAAAATAGGATAGTCAAAGATGAAAGCTTATTTTTCCATTCCCTTTTAGAAATTTTCTTCACATTTTGAATGCATTATTTTCAAAATATGTTCAAAAGGAAAAGTGTGCCAACTCCAGTCTGAGATGTCCTGTTGACCCAGTCTGGCAGCTGTTAATGGCTAAGCATTGCTCTTAATCCTGCTTCCTGATGAGTAGGTCTCATCAAAATGCACCCCAACCGAACCGGTGTGTCTAGCTGCTATTACTTTCTTTACTTAAAGAGTGTTTGAGTGTGCTCATGGCAGACATCATTTAACATGACTGTAGAACCTTTTCCTTTGAATTGCTCTTTATAAATAATCCAAAATGCATTGTCATTTTGTGAAAGATCAAAGTTGGTGCAATGAAAAGCAAACTTTTTATTTTAAATTATGAAAACAAGTTATGTAAACAGCAATGTTTTTGAATACATATATACGACCCTTACTTAGTGGCCACGTATACAAATATTTTAAAAGTATAAATATTTTCCAACCGCCATGGAAAACAGAAGTTTGGAAATACCATAAATTGTTCCACATATTTTAAAAAATATAAAGGAGAGAGATATACAATGAGACGGAGATTAGACTGGGTGTTAGTGAATGTCATTACTAAAAACTAATTATACTACACAGCGGTACTAGTGAGGAGCTATTCCAGGGTCGGAAAACATGCCACAATCCAACTAACACTTCCTCAAAAACACAATTTTAAAACTTGTGTTCAGTCATACTGGGAAGGAACGATTGCACAGCAAAGAAGAGATCAGAGCTGATTCAACAGGTTACTTTATAGAACGGTTATAAGAAAGCTTGGATAAAATGGGAGAAGACCACCCACCCAATGTAGCACAGAGTCAGAAACACTTTACCTGATCTGGTCCAAGTCTATAAACAAACAAATCTCAGTTATAAAAGCTATGTGTGGCTACAAATCGCACAGCTAATAGAAAAGTAAACAAACTGTTCATGTTGCAAGATAATTAGAAATTAGCATATGTCATGAATGGTAAAACCACGAATAACAACCACAAGCATTCTAACCTAAAAATGTCAGCTTGAAATTATACAGTCAAACCCAGTCTGGCATCAAAAGATTTATTATAAAATACTACAACATTTTGCAACTTCATCAATATTTCAAATGCAAAAATCACACACTCGATAAACCCAATTTCATCATCACAGTGCAAGTCATTGACAATGATATAAAAATAATCCATTCCCTTTTACATTCTAACCTTTAATGTCTGCATGAGCAGGGTCACTGACACTTAAACCCTTTCTTCGGCCATAATGAACCCATAGCTGGGACATTAACCCTATCCTTGCAAGAGAGCTGATTCTCCTAACATTTAACACCTTCACTGTCAGAGAAAGACCCTCTATTTTTCTCTCTTTCTTATCTCCAAGTCTGACAAAGAGACACCACACGTAGAAAAAATAAATAATTTGTTTTTAAAATGACCCATTCCTATCAGAGTTAACAAAGACATAGCATAAGGGTATCACTCTGGTACCTCTCTAGCATGTTATCATTAATCGTTCTGATATTTATCTTGTTCGTTACAAAAACGTCCACTGCTGCCCTGCCAAGTAGACACCACCCCATCAGGAAATGCAAGCCCAATAATTTCAAAATAGTAATTTCATGAGAAAACATTTTGGATTACAGCAACACAAAAATAAACAAACATAAAACGCCTCATACCATAGAGTTATTGGTGGTGAGAGAATATAAATAATTCTTCAATATCCATATCGTTATTACACCCTGGTCAGCAAGTTACACCCCGCTCTAACTCTCTGAGATACAGCTCAGGATTACACCTTGCTCTACCCATGATTTTGCTTTTTTCTTAAAACCTGCTCTACCCATAGATGATCTAGCCCTATATTGAACCCGGCTATACCCCTCTATCATCTTGCTCCATTTTAAACCTAGCTACACCCCTCTATGATCTTGCTCTATATTAAACCCTTTTCTACCCCTCGATGATCTTGCTTTATATTAAACCCAGCTATACCGCTCTATGAACTTGCTCTACATGAATCCCAGCTATACCCCTCTATGAGCTTGCTCTACATGAAACCCAGCTATACCCCTCTATGAGCTTGCTCTACATGAAACCCAGCTATACCCTTCTATGAGCTTGCTCTATATTAAACCCAGCAATACCCCTCTATGATCTTGCTCTATATTAAACCCTTTTCTACCCCTCGATGATCTTGCTTTATATTAAACCCAGCTATACCGCTCTATGAACTTGCTCTACATGAATCCCAGCTATACCCCTCTATGAGCTTGCTCTACATGAAACCCAGCTATACCCCTCTATGAGCTTGCTCTACATGAAACCCAGCTATACCCTTCTATGAGCTTGCTCTATATTAAACCCAGCAATACCCCTCTATGATCTTGCTCTATATTAAACCCTTTTCTACCCCTCGATGATCTTGCTTTATATTAAACCCAGCTATACCGCTCTATGAACTTGCTCTACATGAATCCCAGCTATACCCCTCTATGAGCTTGCTCTACATGAAACCCAGCTATACCCCTCTATGAGCTTGCTCTACATGAAACCCAGCTATACCCCTCTATGAGCTTGCTCTACATGAAATCCAGCTATACCCCTCTATGAGCTTGCTCTACATGAAATCCAGCTATAGCCCTCTATGAGCTTGCTCTACATGAAATCCAGCTATACCCCTCTATGAGCTTGCTCTATATTAAACCCAGCAATACCCCTCTATGAGCTTGCTCTATATTAAATCCTGTTCTCCCCGTCTAAGATCTAGCCATATATAAAATCCCTGCTCTACCCCGTAAGAGACTGAGCTCTGTATACACCTTGCTTTCTACATTTCACAGGCTCATACATATTTCATTAGGGTTATTCACCAGAGCGCACCCGACTTACCAATTCTGCAGTTTTGTCATTTCATTTCAATTTCACTTTAAAGTCTCTTTAGTAAATAACCCTGTATGACTGACTCCCTGCTCCCTATTAAACCCTGTTCTATACATTTTATACATTTGACTCCCTGCTCTGTACATTTTGCTGGCAGTCACATATCCCTGCCTGTGACACCCTGCTCTGTACATTTTACTGGCAGTCACATATCCCTGCCTGTGACTCCCTGCTCGGTACATTGTGCTGCCTGTGACACCCTGCTCGGTACATTGTGCTGCCTGTGACACCCTGCTCGGTACATTGTGCTGCCTGTGACACCCTGCTCGGTACATTGTGCTGCCTGTGACTCCCTGCATTGTGCTGCCTGTGACTCCCTGCATTGTGCTGCCTGTGACTCCCTGCATTGTGCTGCCTGTGACTCCCTGCATTGTGCTGCCTGCGACTCCCTGCCTTGTGCTCCCTGCGACGCCCTGCCTTGTGCCTGTGACTCCCCTGCATTGTGCTTGCCTGTGACTCCCTGCATTTGTGCTGCCTGTGACTCCCTGCATTGTGCTGCCTGTGACTCCCTGCATTGTGCTGCCTGTGACTCCCTGCATTGTGCTGCCTGTGACTCCCTGCTCGGTACACTGTGCTGCCTGTGACTCCCTGCTCTGTACACTGTGCTGCCTGTGACTCCCTGCATTGTGCTGCCTGTGACTCCCTGCTCGGTACACTGTGCTGCCTGTGACTCCCTGCTCGGTACATTGTGCTGCCTGTGACACCCTGCTCGGTCCTGCCCCAGATCTTGGTACATGTGACAGGATCCCCCCAGACAGCTGGGCCTGATACAATGAGGGAAGGCCGGGTTCGGGGCCCCCGGGAGCCTTTGTGTGGGGCCCTCACTCACCCATCTTTCCTCTTGGCTTTGTACACATGCCCGTAGGTGCCTCTGCCAACTTTGCAGCCCTCGTACTCAAACAGGTCCTCCACTCGCTCCCTCTCCCCTGTCAGCTTCACCTTGAAGTCATAGTCCATGTCGAGCGGCAGGTGTGGGAGGCGCAGAGGCCGGGGGAAGGTGCAGCATGTACAGCCCGGCCCGTGGACAGAAGCTGCACGATCCGCAGCTTCACAACAGCCGGTCTCAGACACTCCGAGACACCGTAAAGCGCCGCCGCCGCCGCAAGGATGCCGTAAAGGAAGACCGTCCCCGCCCCTTCTCCTGCTGCAGGCCACGCCCCCTCCGCTCAGACAGCAGAGCCAAGCAGAGCGTGGCTGCCACCGGGGTGACCTGGGCTGACCCCTGACCCTGGGAGAGGGAATCTAACAGGGGAGGGGGGCCTGAATGTCTTCACCCCCAAACTGAGGCTCTCAGAGTGCACTGAGCACAGTCTAGGCCACAGCAGCTAGAATGGCCTTGGATGGCTGGGCAGTATGGGAGTGGTAGTCCTAATCAGGTAGAAGGAGCTATGGCAATGCTTAGTGTGACACAGCTGCCATTAGGAAGCCAGTGATCAGAGGGGAATACAGGCTAACCCCTCACAGCTCACTAAGGAATTGCTGCCAGTATTATTATTGTTATTATTATTATAAGTATTTATAAAGCGCCAACAAATTCCGTAGCGCTGTACAATGGGCGGACTAACAGACGTGTTTGTAACCAGACTAGTTGGACGCACAGGAACAGAGGAGGTTGAGGGCCCTGCTCAGAGAATAAAAAATAGAAAACAAGTAAATTAAGTTTTCTGATCAGCTATTTGTGCAATCCCCTAAAGAAATTCTTACAATTCATGGTTTAGTGATAGGATTAAACATAAGGCAACCTAGGGCCCAGGGGTTAGACAGGGGACCCAGAAACATAAATGTGTGTGAAAGCTGAAATAGTTAACTTTCCTTGTTCATATGTATTTTATGCTTAGATAAGGTTTATAATCATTAGTACTGACTGTAAGGATATGAAATAGTTAAACTCTTTCTTGCTTTAAAATAATGTTTGAAATAATTATGCTGACTTTGGCAGATGTATTTTGTACCAAGGTCTTTCGTCTACAGGATGTATGACCTTCCTTGACCTTAGGATGTTCCTGTCTCGTCTTTATCCAAATGCTTATCTTTTTCATGTCCGACAAGTATGTACTATTAACTACAAGGACACTATAGATCTCACTGCTTGCATGACAAACTGTGTATAAATGCTAGCCCTGAAAATATACTCATTGAGAACTTGTTGAGCACTCTTTCGTGTCTGTGTGTCTTATTTGCCAAACAAGATCTCCCATCAATTGATGTGGTGACGGGGGATCGAGAATCGAGGGGAGTTGAGTCCAGAACAGCATTATCCTTTCAGCTTGGTGTCTAGAAGTGGGATCAGCAAAACCATTGGGTGAGTAGCCTTTTTGTGTCTTATTGACGCTAATTGTCTATGACCCCCTTTGGTTCAGTAAGTCTGTATCCAGTAGAAAGGAAAGGTATAAGGACTTTAGTTATATTGAGACTGTAAATAGGTCTCTGGTTTATTAGACATTTGGTCTAAATATATATAGGGGTTCTTGGTAACCCAGGTTAGTATCTAAGATAGATACAGGTTTTTGAGACCTTGAGAGGTCTCCGGTTTATTATAGGGTTTTGGTAACCCAGGTTAGTATCTAAGATAGATACAGGGTATCTCAGGTAGATACAGGTTTTGAGACCATAAGAGGTCTCCGGTTTATTAAGATTATAGGTGTTCTGAGGAGCACAGTTTAAAGATCTATAAGTATAACCCAAACTTCTCTTTCTCCCGGTCACCTTTGTTTGTCTTAAGTGTTCTTTGTGGGTTATTGTCTGTATTGGGGACACACTTTGGTAAGTTAGTAGTGTGTCTGCCCTGAGTCAGCAGTATGGGAAATGTAAGTTCAGGTCCTGAGTGACCAATATGTATATATATATATATATATATATATATAAAAAGATACCAGTACTGTATATTAGAAAAGAACTGACTCGCAGGTTGTACCTGATAGACCTACTTAAATCTTTTGTTTTATTCTTTATGTTGCATAGAAGTATAAGTTTATTACTCTGTTTTATTGTAAGTTATTTCACATGGGATCTGTGTGCCTGGTATGATTATTACTTTAATACCATAAGCCCACTACACTTTCTATGAGAGTGGGATAGTGTAAATGTGTTGCATTGTTTGCATGATGAGCTCAGTATTTTTATAACTGAGACAAAAAGTCACTTCATTAGTATTTGAAAGTTAATTCCCCGTATGGGATTAATTGTATAGAACACCAATCAGCACATCTTCCCTGCCCTGTGTGTTTGTTGCAAAGGATCCATACTGTAAATATGATTTGTTTGTAAATAAGAGAGCAACATTTACATTTTCAGCGGTCCAACACATGCTTCATTTTGTGCTGAAAGCTAACCTTTTTATTGCTACAGATGCTTTAAATGATTCAGCTACTGCATATGTTTTGTGTCTTCTATGTCTCACATTATATGTGTTCTTTTAAATTGTGGTATATAGCCTGGATCAGAGCTCATGGACAAAGGTTTTTACCTGTGTTACAAAGGCTCTTGGAGACTGACCGGTCTAAGGTTTGCCATGCCTTATAACATGGTATAGTATAAAAAATTTTTTAAGTCTCTGAGAGTTCTGAAAGATTCGGGTGAAACCATGTCTGTGTAATCTGGTCCAGATGTTTGCAAAATTTCTGTAAGATTTAAAATTGATGCAGCATCATCTCAGATTAGTTAATGGACGTTTCAGACAAATATTTGAGTTATGAGCGCGCTATATAAATGGATCCTTTCTTTATATACAATACTGTAGTAGATTAAAGTAATGACGTTAATTAGAAAAAAAACATGTATGCATAAGAATTCCTAAAATAAATCTAATACAAACTAAAATTGGTATACCTTACAATAATATGTTCTGAGTACAGCTGTTAACTGTTTATTCTGTGTAAATGGTGATTGTGATAATGTGTGAAGTGTGCAGCTTAACTGGAGAGTGGTTTAATTTATATGTTGCTGTGTTGTTTTAAATTATATTTGAATCAGTTTGTTTCAGTCTAGTGATACTGATACAAATGCCAGCCAAATAACCTAGCAAATAACTGTTTTATTAGCTGTTGAATACTAGCGGTTTGGCCAAGAGTAGTTTGAGTTGGAGTAGTTCTATGAGCTCAGAGAGGCTCTGTGTTGTGGTCTGGTATAGCTATATGGGAATGGAGATTTGGAGGTGTTAGTTTAAGACTGCTTTCATATTGTGTCTACCCGTGTTTCCTAGGAGGGACACAGAGTGTGTAGTTGCGTGCCCATGAATGTGTTTTCTGTATTGGCATATCTGCCAATACACGTGTATCTACTACGTCTGTTTTGTGAGATGACATGTAACATTACATTGGATGCTGAGTATGAGTTATATGGTTTGAAATGAATTGGTGTGTTATGTGTTTCATGTATTTTATTGTCCATTGTGTAGGAATTTAACTAGCAGAGTAATTTGCATATCATTAACGCAAGCATTTAGTGTTTTTACAAAAGGTGAAATGCTGTCCAGCCGGCTAGAATGAAACAATTGTATGCTATCGCTCCTGGAGCAAGAAAAGCGCTTGTTACATCCCACGTGAAAGGGGCCCCGCAAACTTCTGCTGTTCAAATCGTGGCTCTTCATTTCCATTTGCAAATTGATTAATCCTGAAAGTCATTCTTTTACTGATAAAAAGGATTGAATGGACAAGATGTCTCTCCCTCATAAAGGAGTTTTAATAGGGGAGTATTGTCCAGCTCAGAGTTAACTCTACTTTTAAAGTATATTGCATTGTTTGTGTCAAAGTAAGATTCATCTAGAATGCCTCATTGATTATGGGGTAATAATAACATGGTATTTTTATTGGAGATTAGACAATTTCGGAAATTTATAAGTGAGTTAATCTTAATCTCCTAAACTACTGTATTATATTTGTATCGGTAAAGTGAAAGCATTATGCAGATCCAGAAGAGGATAAATATAATAATCTCACTAGGAGCCAAATTATGCAAAGAGGCTATCCAAAGTACGCACTAACGGGTTAAACTTGTTTTCTTAAGAAGTGTATAACATATAGTTTTGGGGTTAAACTTTTGATACTCAATTTGAAATATATCCTAACTACATCCTTGCACGGCCTCAGGTACAGGAAGCAATATGTGTTTTAAAATTTTTTGCAAAGTCTTAGTGTTTTCAATATATTATAACAATGGAAAAGTACCTAACCGCATGTCTGCATTATGCTCATGACACAGACTGTCAGTATTTCAAGCCCTATATGAAGGCTATGCTTTCATTGTCGATGTATATACCCCTAGACAACCTTGCTTTTTATACACAATTTAACTATCCATTAAACGTTTAAAAGCTTATTAATATTATATCTGTGTGGTACACAAAGAGGGGGTGTGAGTTCGGTAATCCCGACCTGCATATAGAATATGCTTCCTCCTTGTTCACTTTTGTTCCTTGCTGGTCTGTGACTGGCCCTTTTTGACCCCAAATGAATTTCTTGGGAAGATTCATGAGAAAGATACAGCAGGTTGTTTTGATAGAAAGAAAGAAGGAAAAGGTATGTTGTAGCAGTCACAAGGATTGTGATCCTAAGCAGGCGAGACAAAGAAATTTGGGAGGTGATAGGAGATTGAATCAGAAAAGTTTTAAAGGCAAAGGTAGAGGATTTGGTCAAAGTTTCTAACTTTTGTAGAGGTGGTAACTTCAGCACTGTTTTAATTGTGGATAGCAGGGATTCACCCCAAGGTGCTTGAGGTGAACCCGGTTCTCCTGGTCAAGCTGGCCCCACTGGTATTGATGGTGTCCCTGGCTTCCCTGGTGCTCCTGGACCTCAGGGCCCCAAAGGTTCCCCTGGACCTAAGGGTAACAATGGTGAACCTGGTGCTCAAGGAGACAAAGGAGAACCCGGTGCTAGGGGAGAACCTGGCCCAGCTGGCATTTAAGGACTCCCACTCTGGCAGGTTCCTCAATACCAACCATAACTTTCAAGCTATACCCACACCCAACAACCTCAGCCTAATACACAGATGGTTCATGTTTTTAATACTTTATATATAGTTTTGATAGATAAAACAGTATTAATACTGGCTCTTAGAGGATGTACAAGCTGAAGTTGGGACCTAGACATTGTTTGCATAGGCTGCGCAATGTGAAATAACTAAAATAGGATAATAAGTATGCTTAATCAATATGTAACGTGGTATCCTAGAGGCATCTGCAATAAAATAAGTGTGTTTCCAAGACCTGACAAGTGAGGGCAACTTAATATAACATATGTCTACAGTTTGCTGTCCCTTCCTTATCAGAGGCCACTGGTTTCCAAAGAGGTTATCAGGGTCCACAAAACTGACAGACTTCAGCATTCCAATTTTATTTAAGTAATTAATTGAGATTATCAAATCAAGGTTCAAGTTTAGGAACAAAATTTTATTGGGAATGTATATGCAAATGTTAGTGTTTTAATATTCATCCTAACAAACATTTCTATAGAGTGAGTGCTTCTCTCATCCATACAAGGCATTCTAAAGGGAAATTATGTATTCAAATTTTATAAAGGACAAATTCAATGAATTATAAGCAAAACTGAGAGAAGTACATGTTACACTAGTTAAGAGTTTAACTTTAGTCTCTAATTTGAGTTTAGCCTAGGTAATTAATTAATGATGTTGTATTGATCCTTGTGTTTGTATGATTGTAGAGACCGTCCTGGAGTGTTTGTGCCACCTGATTTCTGGGACTACACATCAATCTCTCCGGCTGACCATGCAATAAGTATTTTGCAATTACATCTGTTTGGTCATTATCCATGCAGGCCAAAGAAACTGAGATACTTATGAGGACATAAACTTTGCACGCAAGAACCTGGAAAGTCCTGAAGGTGCAGTGCTGTCTAATACCGCTGGTTCTGTAATAACCCTTTCAACCATTGGGGTGTTGCACAGAGCATTGTGGTGAAAATCCAGCAAACAAAAGAAGAACTATTTGGAAGCTGACATTGTCTTGTTGTCAGCCATATTGCTACCCTTAGCCATTTTATGGAACAAAATGTCTGGTGTCTAAACTGATTTATTTATACTCTGTGAAAGACTTATTCTATTTTTCTGAACTATGCTGAACTATTGAACTATTTTTATTTTTACTTTTGTAGAGTTAGCCGGAGAGAGAGAGGAAGTGTTAGCTGACCCAGAGTTAGCTGTACTATGTGTGTTTTTGATATATGTTGAGTGTGCCAGGATGGATTCCCATGTTTTGTGGAACTGCGTGAGGATATGACTGGTTTTGACTGGACCTTTGGAATAGGGAAATGGTTAAAAGATATAGGACGCAAGGTCCTGGTTATTATTGTCAGAATTTCAAGCTAGATTATAATTTATCTCATGAATTAATATGTAAGAAGTGTTTCCCAATTCCTCCCGATACCCGAGCTATGTACTCACAGGTGCGGGTATTATAAGTCACAAGTGGTGTCAACTGTGAGGGGATGACATGTCTAACACGATCGCGGCCCCCACTCAGGTTTTCCCCAGATGTGCTTTTTCCTCAAATATGAGTTTTTGCCACTGGGTTTTTGCCTGGCCCCAGATCATCGGGTGGACTGGTAATCCTAGACCCCGGTCCTTGAACGGGGGATAGGTATTATTCCCACTTTGACTATATGCGCCCACTTCCGTGGACAAAAGAGGAAAATAACTGTTGGGAATAATACACTTTGCCCATATTTACCCAGGGCTTACGATACAGATGACAGGCTGGTTAGTCTGTTTAAAATTGGTTAACATGTCAGCTATTTGCAATAATATATTTGCTATAAGCCCAAGTTCCATTTTGTCTTAAACATAAATTTTCTATATATCTGTCTGTAAAAGTATTAAGTGTCTTTTCCTGCTTAGTTTCTCTTTCTTGTAGACCACATGATTGCTTGGGAATGCCATAATGTGGAAGTGTCTCTGTACTGGGAAGATCTTATCAATGATATGAGCAAGTGTATTGCTCAAAGAGGGGGGATGAAAGCTGAAATAGTTAACTTTCCTTGTTCATATGTATTTTATGCTTAGATAAGGTTTATAATCATTAGTACTGACTGTAAGGATATGAAATAGTTAAACTCTTTCTTGCTTTAAAATAATGTTTGAAATAATTATGCTGACTTTGGCAGATGTATTTTGTACCAAGGTCTTTCATCTATAGGATGTATGACCTTCCTTGACCTTAGGATGTTCCTGTCTCGTCTTTATCCAAATGCTTATCTTTTTCATGTCCGACAAGTATGTACTATTAACTACAAGGACACTATAGATCTCACTGCTTGCATGACAAACTGTGTATAAATGCTAGCCCTGAAAATATACTCATTGAGAACTTGTTGAGCACTCTTTCGTGTCTGTGTGTCTTATTTGCCAAACAAGATCTCCCATCAATTGATGTGGTGACCGGAGGATCGAGAATCGAGGGGAGTTGAGTCCAGAACAGCATTTATCCTTTCACCCTCCATTCAGTGTTGCACCATGTTTGTGCAGTATGCCACAAAATAAGAGTCCCTGGCCACCCACAGTCCGGCCCCTTCAGTATGTGTAGCTAAGGCAGACATTACACACTTCCTTGTTGTCATACCCATTCATACCGTCAGTTGGAACTCTGACAGGTTAAAAGCAGTCAGCTGACACTCTCAGCCAATCACAGCTGCCTATTGCTGCTCAGGCTAATACTTCCTTATTAGCCAAAGCAGCATAGAGGGGGATGGATTGCCGGGGACTCTTGTTTAGCATTAAAACATTAAAAGTTTAAAAACTGTTTAATGCTGAAAGAAATGATTGTACCAGAGGACTCCAGACACTATAACCAGTTTAATGAGATGAAGCAGATACAGTGCCTACTGTGTCCCTTTAACCTTGGTACACCCCCGCTGGCTGTCAATCAGCTCACTGCAATGGAGCTAACCTCAAAATACAGCAATTACCCAGAGTTCTCAGCGCATATACACATATTAATTATACACAGTGATAGAGAGCTCCCTGTACTGAGCCCAATCTCATCACGCTCCCTGTATACACATATTAATTATACACAGTGATAGAGAGCTCCCTGTACTGCGCCCAGTCTCACCACGCTCCCTGTATACACATATTAATTATACACAGTGATAGAGAGCTCCCTGTACTGAGCCCAATCTCAACACGCTCCCTGTATACACATATTAATTATACACAGTGATAGAGAGCTCCCTGTACTGCGCCCGGTCTCACCACGCTCCCTGTATACACATATTAATTATACACAGTGATAGAGAGCTCCCTGTACTGCGCCCGGTCTCACCACGCTCCCTGTATACACATATTAATTATACACAGTGATAGAGAGCTCCCTGTACTGCGCCCGGTCTACCACACTCCCTGTATACACATATTAATTATACACAGTGATAGAGAGCTCCCTGTACTGTGCCCAGTCTCACCACGCTCCCTGTATACACATATTAATTATACACAGTGATAGAGCGCTCCCTGTACTGCGCCCAGTCTCACCACGCTCCCTGTATACACATATTAATTATGCACAGTGATAGAGAGAGCTCCCTGTACTGTGCCCAGTCTCACCACGCTCCCTGTATACACATATTAATTATACACAGTGATAGAGAGCTCCCTGTACTGCGCCCAGTCTCACCATGCTCCCTGTATACACATACTAATTATATACAGTGATAGAGCGCTCCCTATACTGCGCCCAGTCTCACCACGCTCCCTGTATACACATATTAATTATATACAGTGATAGAGAGCTCCCTGTACTGCGCCCAGTCTCACCACGCTCCCTGTATACTGTAACAGAACTATGATTTTGCCCATGCTTTTTGCCTGAACTTAAATTACAACGCTTCTGGATGTATCGCACAAAAACCGAATGGCTATCTTTCATGGAAATGTTCCTACTAGAGAATACAGCACAAAATACCGAACATCGGACCACCCAGGGGAACAGTTAATTGATATTTTACCTCCCAGCGCTTGTAGAGCCGTTCGCATGGTTCATACGAATTCCTTTGTGCTCAGGTTAGATGGCTGCCATTTCGGAACTTTACACGTGTTCGCGGCCATCTTACGCACGAATGGCGGTGTTTGCCTGTGAACGCATAGAACTAAAAACGGATACGCAAACAGGCAAACACCGCTGAGACCTCCAGGAGCTCGTAAGTTCGTGCCAGAACTACCGAACAACTGGCCGTTCGGTAGTTTTGTTTAAGCTCTCATAGGGATTCCAGCGAACACCAGGATGACTGTGGATGGCAAGGGGTTCGTGGGGTTTTAATGCACGAACGGAGACCGACCGCAAGGCCTAAACTTATGGAACTCTTTTTGGCTAGAAAACCTGTGCGGTCGGTCAAAACTTCAAAGATCCATAACTCCCGAACCCCTCAACCGAATGGGCTGAAATTTGGATATATTGTTCCCCTGAGTGAGGGGCAGCTTCACTCAAGCAGCTTCAACATGGATGCTGTCCAAGAGGTGGGAGGGTCTGGGAGGGAGGGTCTGCTGGAGATTGGCAGGGATGTGTCAGCTGACCGGAGTTCGCCACGAACGGTTCGTGGCGAACCGTG